ATATCATTTCATGCATCTGGTGGCAGAGAAGTGGCAGCTGGAGGCTAGATGAAATTTCCTAGGGTACCTACAATGGCATGAGTCATCTACATTTAGACAAATGAATCTTACTGTAGATAATAGTTTTGCTGTTTGGGCTCTTAGGTACTGGTCTTGTAGTGCTGTTTCACCAGATGCCAACTGAGGCTTGATTTTGTGAGTTAAACATGCCCTGTCCTCTCTGGGACCTTCTGTCGGATTTAGCTGCCTCCGCACCCATCACAACAGAAATGAGCATGCAACGACTGAGCAGTCTCTGCATGCACATCTAGGGAAATCAATGGCCTAAAATGAAGTCTCATATTGATTTTAGACATTCAAAACCAATACTAATGTATTCACACGTATACACTCACATTGCCATTTAAAAAAGGCATGCCAGTTCAGAAGATTTCTTCACACAGTTTAAGTTTTGCAAAATGCGGAAGTTTTTGCAAATGTCTGATGCAGTCTTCGCTGGAGTACATTTAGAAATGAAAACAAAATGGTATTAGTGCCTCTAGCTCAGCAAAATCAAATGTGTGCTATATGATATGCTATAAAGATGCTTGCTTTTGGGAAACCGCCTGCTAATTCCTTTTGCAGACCACGGGATTGTGTAGACCTGACTCACTTTCACACCCTTCAGTCAGCAGCTCTGTATTGCTATGCCATGTCAGTGCTGTCCTGAGTGGGCCCACAGGCAACTCCAGGGTGTAAATAATGCAGCATAACACTAACAGCTTATGCAGTGACAAGAGATTAAGATTATTTTGATCCGTCCTCAGACATTTGGTAAAAGTGAAAGGCAGTCCCTTCGAGCACTGCTAGTTTATAACTCCAGTCTCCATCTCAGGCATTAGCCTGGGCCAAATGCCAATTAGACTAGGGACTTTGATTTGGTCACGGGGCAAACAATTGTGCTAGTTTAAAACATAAGCATCTCTTTTCTCTTGCCCCCATTTATTTATATTGCCCTACTTCTAGGAGTTACCACCCTAAAAACAGCGGCAGAAGACTGCTCCAGTTCATAGCCTGGTGTTCTGGTGGGAACTCTGCTCCATCCATGATCTGAGATGGGATGTCGCAATATGGAACGGGGTCCCAAGACCTCCGTACAGATCCTGCTGACTGCCAGGGTGCTGGGAACCACAAGCAGAGGAACATGGCAGAGACCTGTCATGGCCTTAACCCCCCAACAAGATTTGCCAGAGGTCATTTGTCAAAGCCGTAATCTATCACTGTGCTTTTTCTTATGATGGCAAAAACAGACTGCAAGAGAAGAGCAGACAGCAGGCCCCTCTACAGGTGCACCAGTCTCTCTCTCTGTCTACTTATGGAGGTTACTCCCCATCCTCATTAGCAAAACAGCTCATCTATTGAATGCAATTTAATCAACAAATGGGGTTGTTCTTGGCAGGGTATCTTCAGTTGAAGAATGACTTCTCTTTGTAGAGATCGAGTTGTACAAACACTTTCATTTGATTGAAAAAAATTAGCCCAATTAAATACATAAATGTTTAAGTAAACCCTTTGGACATAGTTCACTTAATAAAAAACAAATAAATATCCAATTTTAAAGAGAGCGGCAAACTGCTGGGCATTTTACAATGTCAGCCCAGGTTTTCTAGAAAAGAATACCCAAATCCACTTATACGTAAATTAAAGGCATAGTTATTTTTCCTACAGCCTTTTTAAATATTGCTTTGGAATGTATACAGAAATGTATGTGTTTGGCGGGGGTGGAGGGAGGGGGTCCCCTCTTCACAATATGGGCTATCTCAGCACTATTTAGAGTGCCTGTTAGTCTAATGCCTTTTCAGAGTGCCTGAAGACATGAAGAAGCACTTCTTATCTAGCACACCCACTTAGGATTAGGCTTTTTTATGGGTTCTTAGCATTGATATTTATTTATTCTATCTAGCTATGAGCATGTTACGGGGGGTGGGGGTTTATCTTGTTTTGGTAAAGCAAAAATTTTCATTTAATTGCTAATTCTGGAATATTTCTGGTTAACATTACATTTCACGGTGCACAATTCAGCTGCTTCTCAAGTGAGTTCTTGCAGTCCCTCCTCCTCTGCACCTGCCTTTTGCCTTTCTCACCCTCCTACAGCGTAGATCGCAGCTCCTGGATTATCTTTTCTACCTCCAACCTCAACCATTTTTTTGCCTCACCTTTTGCAAGTCCAGAATGAATCTCGCTCACTGCTTAACCTCCACCTTTGCTGGCTCTGTGCTCAAACCTGGTGTGCTTTGACCCTCCTTTCCTAACCGCACGTACATATTCCCTGTGGCCCAAGCTGCAACAGTTGCTCTGCCATGCTTGAAGAGGAGGCTGAACGCTGTCTGCTGATCAGCATCCCTTTGAACACCCTCTCCTTTGAGAGCAACCACACGCACTGAATTAGGCTCTCAGTGTCATCCTCACCAGCACCCACAGCAGCAGGAGGTGCAGGACCAGCACTCCCACTGCCACCGTTTCTCCCATCAGCAAACCAGTGCAGGGCTCACGGCAGCTCAGCTTTTCTGAGGGCAGATTTTGAATGCAGCATGTATATATGTGGTTCTTGAGACAACTCATTTCATAGACTCAGGAATAGAAAGCATATCATTGCGGCTTAATCAAATTAAATATTCAAATGAAAGCAATAATTACTTAATCTCACTAAGTCTCAAGACAAATTTAAGTCTTTGAAACATCATTTTTGGCCTGTAGGCTATAATGAGTAAGCCAGTCTCTAATGATTTGGAAAAGACTAGAGGGTTTGGGTTATCACCAACCAAGAGGTATTTATGAAAGAGGATGAGCAGTGTGGTTATTAAACGGCCCTCGGACAGCACCTCTTCTTTACAGATGACTTTGCTAACACAGCATCAACCAGGCACTGACATTAAGTAAAAAAAAATCCTAGCCAAGCATTTAAATTCACTGCCAATGTATGTGGAAAAGAGATGTTTAGTGGCAGAGCTGCCTGGTGGAAATCACTACAGCAAATTTCAGCTGTCATTATAATCTGTTAATTAATGTGTTAACATATGATTGCAGCAGATCGGCGAGACCAGCACTCCCGTCAAGTCTAGGCATGCGTAACACGTGCCCTGCTCCCGGTCCAGAAAACACAGTAAGAGTACCTGCCTTCACAGTTAATGTAATACATCTCATGGTCCTTATGTGTACCTGGAAGGAAAGTTGTCAGCTGAAATTTTTCACATGGGTTTCTCCACTGACTTTAATGGCAGAGTGATTTAATTTCGGCAAATATCTGACTCATTAGTCAAGACTGAGATGGCGAAGGTGGTCTCAGAGACTCTGCTCTGATTGTGGGCGTGACTGTGCTTAAGGTCAGTTTGTAACTGCCTAAGTGCTGGCTTCAAGGAGCTCAGACTGGCACAACACCCGCCTTCTTGTGGGTTTGCAGAGAAGTAACATGGAAAGGTAACACTTTTCTGCACTCTGGGAAGAGCAATGACTGAGGCCTGGGAACGAGCAGGCTGTCAGGAGACACAAGCAGGAATTGTGGAGCAGAGCTGCTCACACGCTTGGTGTGAAAGAGCAAGCATCAGCCTGTACCAGTGAGGGTATCAATAGCACAGAAAGGTATTAGAGTTCAGAATAACAAGGTAAAGCTTCTAGAGCATGTTACACATCCCCTGGGCAACACCATTAGTGGCTGCTGGTAACAACATCAGTGGCAGTGGTAGAGATGGGTGCTGATACTGGCAATATGAATTTCTGGCCCCATGCCAGATCAAAAGCACTCCAAAACACCACAGGAATGGTGTAAGGGAGGGTGACCTGGAGCATCTCTCCCAAAGCAATATTTTTTTACCTTTCAACCTCTATTCATTTGCATATGTTCACAAGAAATATCTCTGAGATGGAAACAAAACTCCTTACTCCTGAAGCCTGACAGAAATCAGTGTAAAATTAAAAGATAACGCAGCAAGTTTGTGTTTAACCCTAGAGGACCATTTTCGTCCACTGTTCTTTGCACTGGGATTGCTGCTACCACAAGCCGTGCACACGCAGCTATGGAAAGGGTTTCTAACACTAACCGTAAGGTTTAGCTCACAGGGGCTAGAAATGAGGAGCTGTGTGGGCCAGTACTTGGGAGTGGGAGCTCCCAAGCCTGCGAAGGGTCGGGGTGCTCAGTGTCTCCTGCTCCTTCAGGACAATTGCAGACCCCCCTCTTCCTCAAGTGACACAGGATCAAAGAGAGTAGGGTATCAGCAGCTGCATCAATCCTTCTAGTTAAACAAGGACCTGGGTATAAATGCAAACATCAGATCCTAATTATCCACATTGCTTAATCCTTAGCTCTCTGTTGGGCCCTTGTTTTCTATCAGCCTGATGAGGTCTCCAGAGGTGGCTCACCCCGGAGCTGTGAGGTGGCTCACCCGCGTGGCTGTGAGCCTGGCTTGGCTGCATCCCTGGCTCTCATTCAGCACTTAGTGCAGACATCACCATTAAGACCAGTGGCTTGTTTGGGAAAAGGCGGATGCAGGGAGCAAGTGTTTGCCAGCAGGTGTTTACCAGCTTCCCAAGGATGTGAATAACCAAAACCACACTCTTTAGGCTTGGGTTAGAAGGCCATAAACATGCCAGACTTCAAAAACAGCTAATTGCACTCATTGTGAATTACCCTCACCTGTGCTGTGATGTGATGCCTCTGTCTACCCTGTCAAGATCTCCAGGAGTGTTAGCAAGACTATTAAATGTGATGTCTTAAATACATACATACATACATACACACATACATAAATTCCTTCATTTCCTTTTATAATGTTCTTCTGGAAAATATTTCCAGCAAATCTATCTGAAATCCCCTGCCTTAGCACCATACCAGAATGATGCAATATGAACACCCTACCACACACAACTGGGTTGCTTCTCCAAGCCTGTGCTCATGTCTTCCTTTGCTTTTATGGACAACACATAGAAGAGTCTAATGTGGCTGAGATGCTCTGATGATGACTCACCCAATTCAAACTGGTTGGAAAGGTTACCACAGGTTTGTCTGACTTCTTCACTGTCCCAGCCAAGAGGATAGAGGGCACAACCAGAGCCGATCAACAAACCTATGGAGAGAAAAGAAAATGGAAGTTTGTACAAGCAATTGCCATTAGCTAAAACACAGGCTGCCACTTGCGAATCAAAGTGTCAAACTGCCATTTGGGAATCTCAGAGAAAAAAAATCTCTTCTTCTCCTAAAAACATTAGAAAATCATTTGGACTTCTACTGCTACATTCTGCTATGCTGTTGTACAGCTGGAAGCAGCCTTGGCAGTTCAGCACCAGAAGCCATCCTCAGCTTCTGGAGCTTCTACCTGAGAGCTTCTAGACTCCCCTTCTACTCTGTAGAACTGCTACATATACTGTTTGGAAAACTCAACACGGGGTTAAAGAGAAGCTGTGTTAGTCACAGCGTTTACAAGCTGATTGCTTCTGATTAATTAAAACAACAATCAACCACGGTCTATCAAGGTTCTAGCAGGAAAAGTAAACTGACATTGTGATAATCCGTTGTCATTTTCCTTTGTTTTTCACCCTTTCAAAAGCCAGGAAAGAATGGTTTCATGTCACCTGATCAATTCATACCACAGGTACACACTCCACAAAGTTTTCTCAAAACATTTCACCTAAAACAACTGAGCTCTTGAGCTATTTACTTATTATCATGCTTGGCTTAACATTCACAACGTGCTTTGCTTTCTCCAGCCCTCATGCTGCCCCAAACAGATGTGTTTTGGCTAAGTCTTTCCCTTCACAAGATCTTGCTGGGAATCACCCAATGGGCCATGATTATTTTGCAGAAGTGGCATTTTTATCATATTGCATTCTCAGCTGTCGCTGCAGCAGCTGCCAAAAAGCGGGTGTAGCTGGCAAAGCTTCTTACACGGACAGCCTAGAGAGAACATTTCAATGTATGCTACAGCATTTAAATGTTACCTCCTTTGTGTCAGATCTTATTTGCAAGGCTGGAAATGAATCACTATGTAGATGACAGGCTGGGCATGCATGACACTTCTCAGGCTGTGAAGGCAAGCAAGCCCTCAAAAAGTTTGCAGTGTGGGTTTGCAGTGGTGCCTTTTACCTGTTAGGTTAGAGCACAGGACTGGGACAAGGTTTCAAGCCCTACAGCTGACACTAGCTGACTTTGGGCAAGTCGCTTGACCTCATACCACCTCACTTTTCCTCTCTGGACGATGCGGTCCCTGGCAAAGCACTTCTGCTGTCGTGCTCCTAGTGCAGCAATCCCTGGGTGTGGTGACAGAGGCACTGTGGGGGTCACAGCAGACTAACAGGAGTCCTGAGAGTGATTCTGACTCAGGGCCTGGAGCTAGCTGTGCATTTCTACTGTCTCCACCCTCAAGATACTTAAGCTTCTCATATTTATGACGTTCCTGTAAGACACAGAAATCACCTTGTTATGTTCTTGACTTGCTCAAAGACACACCTGAACAAGGCACTGAGGTCCAGAAGTGGTATCCCATCTTTCCCTTAGCACCTTAGCTGTTAGCAAAGTAGGTCAGCAACTCCTTTGCTGCTCCTCCAAGAAAATCTGCCCCTGTTTAGGGCCCAATATTAGCTCCTTAGATCTTCCTTCGCTAAGTTCAAATTTCTTCTTGCTACTCAAGTCTACTTCTTCCTTGCCTTGTTGAGCAGTCACTGCCTGCTCCTCTCTCCGTATCTATCTACATCACATAATGAAAAAGAAATCCCTGAGGCAGCCCCCTCTCAGATGGTGCGTTCGCCCAACAGCTGGAAAGAGAGACAAGCAATTAAGGACACATGAATGCTAAGTATTTTCAGAACTTTGCCTGACCTGGATATGGTTGCTTCTAATGTCCTCGCTAATGGCTTTCACAGTATCATCCGATTTTCTTCCCCAGGGCTGCAGAGCCGATAGTAGTAGGCAGCTGGTAGAATCCATGTAAATGAGAGTCGCTTCTAATTAAATTCTCAGAAAGGATGTTTCTCAGACAAGAGAACTTAGGCCAAAATTGGGTCTAAATTTGTTAAAGACAGCTTAAGACTCTCTGAAAAAAAGGCTGATTCTCACTTCCATTGTTAAAGCTAGAAGGGCACTGTGAAGCGCTGCCAGAAGGGCTGATGTGCTAGGAATGGCCAGGACCCAAAGGGACAAGGAGGAACATCACCACTGATGATGAGAATGGCTGGGGAAGGGAGAAAGAGCACCCAGATGCCAGAGACAGCCTTACAGACCAGTGGACCATGGCAGCCCTGGCCAGTCCTGCTGTGGGTCTGACCCCTTCCCACACCGGCCGTGATGCCCATGACCTGCCTGGTGCCAGCCCAGGCAGACCACAGCTCAGAAGCTGCTCTGGCCAAAAATGAACCACCCTGGCTGGGCTGGTTTCAATTAACTTGTGTCCTTGAACGGACTCTCCGGGAGATCTCGCAAATGCTCAGAGGGCTCCATTGTGAGGGGCAGGGAGATGTGTGCAGGGGGCAGGAGGGAAGGCAGGCTTGCAGCTGCCTGCATTGGACCAGCTGAAACAGCAGCCAGCCCTTCCTCACAAATAGGTCCTGGGAAAGCCTCCTGCCCAATTCTTCCAGGAGAAGACAACAGCAGCACTGCAGGCAAGTGAAAGGACTATTAGCATAACAATGCTGCCCCTCCAAACCCAGAACAAGCTCTTACTCAGCACTTGCCAATTACTCTCCTCAGGTGGCGAGAGAGTCTAGTGCCCACTGCATTCACAGAGGGCTGTTTGTTTTCAGCTCTCTTTAGGTTTTGTTGCAGTAACAGGTTGTTGTTTGGGTTTTTTCCCACGAATATTGCTCACAGCACTTTCCACTGCCACCCTCCAAACACAGCTCATTCTCTTCCAAACACCGTGTACCTGTTCGCTCTTTCTGCCTCTGATGCTACACTGGATATAGTGGCCACAAGCCTTGGCAACTTATTTCTTTCCTTAGCCACACCTCTTCATTCCCCTATCACACCCTCTTTCCCATATCTGTACGTCCATCTCTGTAAGTCCAAAGCCGAATTTCAGTCAAAATAAATTCTGGGGGTCAGGCTATGTCACTTTTACTCTGGGTTTTTAAAATACCTCACACAAATGTGCCTTGACATGGATTAAGCCTCAACCTCTAACTTTGGTCTAAATTGCAATTATTATTCATGAATAAGAATAATTGCTATTAAAAATAATCCTAGATTTCCTTGTTTCTTTCACAAAACCACAAAATTCTTGTATGCTCTACAGAATAAATACCTTCAAACATAAGGCTTGCTAAGGCAGAGATGTAACGTCTAGTCCTGCTCTCTGATCAACTTGCATAAATCTAGAGAAATTACATCGGGGGACAGGTGAGAACATCCTGGGAGAGTGGAATGGGGACCTTCCTTACACAAAAATCCTGGTGATACAGTCACAAATTAATTAGCAACCCAATATATTGTAATGTTAAATTGCTTGAAAGGAGCAACTGCCTCACTCATACATGGATGCTTGACCTTAAAGCCAGTCCACGCTAATAACCCACTGCTGAGCCTCACCGTTAGATGTGCCTCCCAGAAACGAATAAACCCAATAAGGGCAAACCAGTGTGCTATCAGAAAACGTCCCCACCCCAGCGACAGCTGATATGTGCTTTAGCAGTGCTGAGTTTCATTTATGGAGTACCAGCCATCAAGCACTGCAGCTTCTTTTCTGCTCGCAGCCTGCGCTGACTGTGACGATGAGATCAAACGGGAAGCTGCCGCCTAACGCTGGTGCCGCCACGTGGCCCCAAAGCACGAGTGGCAGCATGTTTATGTGCGAAGAAGGTATAAAGCCACGGGCAAGCTCACACGCTTCATTTAGCGAACACAAAACCTGCCAGAGACCAAAGGTGCTGCCAGGAGCACGGGGCTACATTCCCGTCTGGCAAAAAGGCTTATGCCTATAAATACCGATTTTGTCCCAGGTACCAAATGGCCATAAGTCTTAAAGCTGTTGTTTTGACGTCTCCTTTGCTATCACTGGTTTTCAGCTGTTTTTGATTCACCTTCAAGCGTTTCCCTGTAGTGGTGTCTATGCGCCTGTTGTGGATTTAGGTCTATTGACAAAGCAGTTGTGTTCCTCAGTACTTCTTGCAGGCAAGGTGCGGGCCAAACTCAGGGATTTACCTGCAGCGTAGACTTCCACAAAGGCTTAGAGCTTGCTAGTCAGTAAGAAAAAATTTCACAAGTTTTGCTTTATGCCCTGAGGTATGTATATATGTATGAGTGTGTGTGTGTAGCGTCCCATTGCT